TACAAATTCGCTAAATAGGAATAATACAGAAATTACTCAACATTATGAAAAACAAATTAATACTATACAACATGATGATGCAGAATCAGTTAAAGAGAATAAATCTCCAATTCCACTCGTTTCTAGACGTAAAAAAAATCCAAGATGCAAGAAATGTAATATTAGAAGACCTCACTATGATGAAAATTCTAATCAATGTAAAGATTGTTATCGGGCTTCATTACGAGCTTTAAGCGGCAATAAATTAATAGATGATTTTATTGAATCGACACAAACATTTTATCGTCGTTGTAGACATGACAAAAAATTAGAATTCATTCCATATAAACAATTTACTAATATTGAATACCTAGCTAAAGGAGGGTTTAGTGTAATATATAAAGCAACATGGATTGATGGGCCTATTTCTCGTTGGAATCCTAAAAGGCAAAAATATGGTCGAAAAGGAAATTATGACGTCGCTCTTAAAATTCTTAATAACTCTAAAAAAATGGATTCTGATTATTTAAACACGGAAATATAATGATAAAAAAATATTTTTATACCTTATGAAGAGTTTTTCTGTACTTTCTTGAGTCGGATTCATTATCTTTGGTACTCGTTTCCTCATAATCCATGTTTCGGTTTGCTGAATTTACCTCAACTAAGGTTAACGTTCGAGTATTTTCCCATAAAGTTTCTTTAGCTTCCGTAATAAATGATATTGAGAATTTCGTTGTACCTAAATTAATATAATGCTAAATTTAGAAAATGTAAACCATAATATAATGGCAACTCTTCTGGAAAATGATGCATCTATCTTCCCAAGAGGATTAACAAGATATTTGTTTAATAAAAATCTTTTTTAAAAAAAATAAGGACAAGAACATGTCCAATTTTAATGATAGGTTATGCTATGTGTGATTAATTTGTCCACTCAGTTTTGAATTCTTTACGCCACGATGGTAATATTCGTTCATTCAATAATTTTTCGGTAAGAATATGACAAACAAGATCAATACTTGGTCGGTTGAATTTGTATAAGTAATCCTTTTTTAGCATACCATATACATATCGCTTTCTCCTCCAACATCCATAAGTTTTTTCATAAATTATATACGTATTTAAGCTCTTCGGATTTTTTTTTTGCTTGCAAATATCATTTAAAATTTGATCCTCACGTTTCCGTTTTTTGCTTTCATTTACACGGTTTGTACACTCAAAACATGGTTTACTATTAATCCGAAACGCGATACTTGGTTTCGTAATTCGACAAAATGAATGGAGTTTTGTGATGTACCATTTCAGAAATTATTAGGATATTCAAAGAAATAAACAATTTCAACGTAAATTATTATTATTGTTAACATATTATTATTAATTATCATCATTATTGTATTTAATCATTAATTTTAGTGTCGGCAAATAAATTTAAGCTCCGTATATATGTACCGGTAAATAATTTTGGTGGCGATACTAGGTCTGTAGATGGGTCGATTGTGTTCTTGTGCGCAGATTGAGATTTAAAAAGCGACTACGTAACTAATTTTTGTGGCGATATTAGGTGCGATACTCAAGACTAAATCGATGCATTTCATTATTATTGTGATACTTCAATTACTTCAAATTCAAATTCTTCAATTTCTCGATCTTCTTCAATCACCGATGATACAAATAACTCGGCGGATCATTCCTCTGTACGGTTTAG